GGATACTGGGTACCAGTGTATGTGCAGTGGAATACAGTGAGTGCCGTGTGTTTGGGTGATTCAGGGCTAGTGCAGTGTGTGTGCATGTGTCAGTCTCAAGCAGATATCAGTTGTATGTATGTTTACAGTCAACTACGGTCTATGGCATATCAGATTTCAGCAGTTAGAGAATACAACTAGCTATGGCAGTTTTGTATCCTACATTGCAGAAAGTAAAGCAGAAGATGAAGAATTACCTCGGAAGTGCCGAATGAAAGGTGGGAGGTAGGCTTGCGTAGTAGTAGCTCAGGCGCCGCGTACCTCTCAAAGCTCCGGAACTGACGCAGACCGTCCGGGGGCAGAACGTGGATCGTCGGCCGGTAGGTCGCCGGGTCGAACGGGCGCTCGCTCAGTGGTAAGAGCTCGACCTCGGGATCCATCTCGTGGTCCGGGGGAGTCCCGCCACGTGGAATGTCGTCCGCCATGAAGAGAGTGATGTGAAAATGGCCGGAAAAGGAAAACCGAGCCGGAATGCGAAGAGTCAACTGAAAAGTCAACTCCTTAGAGGGTCGGAAATGGCCGGGAAGGCCGGAATGTGAAAGGGCACGGAAATGAAGAGGAAAGTGAGGGGAACGAACCCCGAAAAGGCTAGAACGCCAAACGAGGCACCGAAACGAAAATTTGATCGGTGGAAAACGTCTGAAACGCGAAGAGAAACGCGAATCCGACGACGAAACGGGCGTAGAACGCGAAGAAATGGACGAAAAAGGAGAGGGAAAAGCTCTAGACAGAGAGAGCAAGAGTTTTCGGCGGCCAAGAAATGAGGAAATAGGGCTTGAAGCCCTATTTTATAACACCCAAGGTGAAAAGACAAAACTGCCCCGCACCAGCAACTGTTTGCCGGTCGGCAATGTTTTGTGCCGGCCGGCACTTTTTTGTGCCGATAGAATTGTTTTTGTGCCGATGGCCAGCCGGTGGCCTCCCTTTTCGGCCGGTGGGGTTCCCACAGCCATGTTTAGGCCATTTGAGTTGTTTTGGGTCTTCATAGCTGAAGAAAGTGCAAGAAAGTGCATCTCCGACGCTCAACCGACCTCCGTTTTGACCGCGGGCCGTGTCTCCAGTGCGTAGCACTCGAATTCGCGCAAGGTGTATCCTTTTTGTATCCTTTTAAATTCAAAAGTTACCCCATGTGTGTTGCACAAGTTCATCACACTACTTCTGTGCATTGCATCGCGCTGTCGCGCGCCACACATTTGCATTGTTATGCACGTGTTACATGCGTTGCAACACGCACCCCTTTGCATTGTCGTGCAAATTTCTCATGCATCATCATTGCATTTCCATTCCATGCATTGTCATGCATTCTGGAATACGTGCGTTGTTGCGCATTTAAGCCCGTTTACATTCCGTGTGGCGTGCGTGTCACACTAGTCATCGCACTGTTTTGTGCATTTCAAATCGTCGCACTGTTTTGTGCATTTCAATTGCTCGCGCTGTTCTGCGCATTGCACTGTTTTGTGCATTTCAAACCTCGCGATGTTCTGCGCATCGCACTATTTTGTGCATTTCAAACCTCGCGCTGCTCTGCGCATCGCACTGTTCTGTGCATTTCAAACCGCGCGCTGTTCTGCGCATCGCACTGTTTTGTGCATTTCAAATCGTCGCACTGTTTTGTGCATTTCAAATCGTCGCACTGTTTTGTGCATTGCATTTCGTCGCGCTGTTTTGCGCATCTCATTGCATTTTGCATTGTCATGCATGTTAATTACATTACCTGCGTAGACCGCATGTTTGTAATCATCTCTTTACTTGCGTAGACCGCATATCAATTCTTTACTTGCGTAGACCGCATGTTAATTCTTTATTTGCGTAGACCGCATATCAATTCTTTACTTGCGTAGACCGCATGTTATTTCTCTCTTTGCATAGACCGCATTGTTAAATTTCATTACCTGCGTAGACCGCATGTTTTGATTGCGTAGACCGCATGTTTTAATTTCAATACCTGCGTAGACCGCATGTTTTGATTGCGTAGACCGCATTGTTATTTTCATTACCTGTGTAGACCGCATGTTTTGATTGCGTAGACCGCATTGTTAATAGACATATTTGTGACACGAGGATATATCTTGCAATCACTGCTGGTTTTATGCAAGCCATATTTAAAAAAGTTTAAAGAAAAAAAAGAAGTTAACATGGTAAAAATTATGCTATTTGCAATTAGATTAAGTTATATCCCTTTGTTATTCTCCCTTCCCAACTAACATGTAACCCCCACAAACTTTTTTTGACGTATACCATGCGACAAAAAAGAAAAAAGATGAAGAAAAGATTAAGCTATATTTATGTATATATATTCATAGGTAAACAATTCAATTAAAGGTTCTAGAAATGGGGTTCAACATCTACATAGTAGGGGTATTAAAGAAAAGCTAGCTATATCACATCAACAAAAGAATTTTTATTTTTTTATGAAATCAATAGAAGCGACTAAACAGTCACAAAACTTCTCATGTAACCAAAATACTAACCATGTTGGAATGCCACTACACATGTAACACCAATTAGGAAGCATCTCACCCGCTTTCCCAAGGTGTCCAAAGTCAAGATGGAATCTAAGGTTGCAGTCCATACAAACACCTTCATGTGAACCCCAACTTTCTTGATATTGTCCCATGGAATGACTTGTCGGTGGTACCCGTTGAATCCCATTTTAGCGATTTAACAGATAATCTCTCACCATTAGCTTTCCACACCATCCTATTCTCCCTTGGCCATGCACCATTCTCCTCATAAAGAATGTGAATGAGTCACCCACTGCCTCCAAATTCTAATAATGTAAATACTATGATGTATTAGTGATCCTTATGTAGTTTGAGACCCAAGGCATCCTTATCCACTGCAATCTGAAACTAGTCGGGAAAAGCCCCACCGATAAGGGAACATCCCCACATTAGGTCATGCCAGAATTTAACTTTCCTACCATCTCCAGGGATGATTTCCCACGTCTTCTAGAATACATATAATGTATATGGCTTTTCAAATAACAAAATGTGTATATGGCGTATATGGAGTGCTACTGCATTTATTCAATATGCATTTCAGTTGCTTATGGAAGCCTGGAGTTCTCATCCAGTAGTGTTATATGCAGTAAGACATGAAAATTCTAATGCCTCTTTCCTAAGTGACCTTCATGTCACTTGATGCATCATATGTTGGATTTTGTTTATTGCAGGGATAATTTCCTGTCAAAGGGGTTCAAACTGGTTCTGTAAGCTACTGGAAGAAGAAGTAGAAGAGGAGCTACATGTCTGCGAGGAAGCTGGTCTGTTCTGTTCTGTTCTTACATATATATGTATTTGCATTAGTTATATGGATTCATGATGTTTGAATGTGAATATTTTGTGATTTATGTGTAGAGATTTCGACGTTTCTTCATGCTTGCGAGGGCGATGCAGTGACTAAGCTCACCAATGAGAAAATACCTTACTTTAATGCTCCAATTTATCTTCAAAACAAGACCCAGATTGGCAAAGTTGAAGAAATTTTTGGTCCCATCAATGAATTCCGTGAGTCCTTATTTTGCCATTCATTGTTTTTTGTGGTTTGAAGTTTTTTTGTTATTTTTAGTTTTGGAATCAAATCAGACATGATTTCTGTTTTGCATTTCTGTTATTGGTAGTACTTTTCAGTTAAAATATTAGCTGAATCCCCCCATTTTAAAGTCTGGAGCAAAGTTCCAGTTTGTTCGAGGAAATGGTTCTCAAACTTCAATAGCAAAATTTAACTAGTCAAGAATACAGTTTTAAAACTACAAAATTAGTGTGATAAAGTATTTTATCGATGCAATTGAAAGAAAACTTAAGCCCATATTGTTATCTGCTATCAAAGGGATGTGAAGATGATGTTAGCCACTTCCTTCCTCACAGTCCTTAGAAAACTTAAGCCCATATTGTATGTCCCATCTCACTTCCATACTAACTACCACTCCCTTCCTTTTAACTACCTTTTGAATTCTTGTTCTTCTTTTTCAGACCTCAAATGAATCCATGTTCTGATCCTCACAAATGAGTCCCACAAAAGCCTCCTATTATCCACCAAACTCATCACCTTAGCTCGCTCCTTGGACCCAACAATGGACTATGCTCGCACAGTTTTATTTAATGCCTGGCAGGGATTTATTCCTCTGGAACACCATGAAGGACTCTACAAGTGCTAGAAGGATTGAAAGAGGAGGAATTCTAGGCACTGAATGTTTGATTCCAGTTAGAAAATCTGATTACATGAGGCATTTATAGGCTCTAATAGGCAAGCGTAGAAATAAATCAATTTGTATATCCAATGAAGTATACCTAAATATATTCACTCTAGAAATACATGAACCCCAAAAATAAATGAACAAAACATAAATATATACTTCTAGAAAATGTGTAAATTAACTTAACTAAATTATGTTTATTATTTCAACACCCCTTTTAAACTTGATTTTTTGTAACGCCAAGCAAACTTGAGAGGCTTTGTGAATATGTTGACAATTTGATCATGAGATTTCACAAACTTGAGTTACACTTCCATGGTGTAGTATCCATATTCCACTACTTAGTTTATATTAGCTTCATTTATATGTGTATCGCTTTCCATAATTGTCATTCATGCAGTCCAAATCAAGGCTTCGGGTCCCCTGTTCCATAAGCCTGTCCCCATTCACAACTCATCTGCCATACCTTCCGACTTCGTGGTTGTCCTCGCCACCTTGCTGCGCACCTTAATCTGTGTTTCGGCTTCATCACCGTGGTCAGACCAAATCATCGCCACAAGGTGGCTGCTCCGCAGCCCCGAAAAGGAGCCATAGTAAGATCCAGCCACTGTAAATGTTTGACAGTGGCTGATCTGCTGCATCTCAAAGTTCAACGGAGCTGATTGCACGATCTGCCTGGTTGGAGTATGCCAACGGCAACCAGATCTGCTCGCCGTCGCAGTTGCGCTACGAATTTCATGAGATCCGCTACCAATCGTCGACAACGAAGACAATGCGGCGAATCACCCTCTTTCTCATGTTTTAATATTAACAACACCATATATATATATATAATGTCACATATAAACTACCTATATGTTGTGTAATTAAGGTAAGCCCAATTCGCAAATTTCCCTATTTTACATCTTGCTGGTTTTGTTCATACATCTAGTTTGCGGGCATGAATGATACAAATGGCTCCTTCCGAATACTTTTGATTGCCAGTATCTGTAAATAGTATGTGTCAATTGCCAAGAACATGAAATCTTTGATGATGATAGACGGTCGATCTGTCTAATTTTGTTCCTATTTTCAGGTTTAGATGAGTCATATTTGTTGGGTGGAGAGAGAATCCATACAAAATAGAAGGCCAACTGAGTCGTAATTGATCTTTAAGACTAGACACATGTCAGCATGAGAATTAAGGGACAGAAAGTTGGGACAGGCTTTTGGAACAGGAGATCCGAACCCTCAAATCAAAGGCCTAACAAATTTAATTAACGAACCAATACTGATAAGTAAAAGCTGGCCTTATGGTCAGGCAAGACGTGTCTCACACCTTCCCATCTTGTACCTCAGCCCGCAAAGACCTAGTCTTCAGTGAAGTTAGACCATGCCTTATTTTGGAGTCAAACATTTTGGTTTCTTGATTTACCCTGAAACCAAGTGGCAATTCTTAATCTTTTTCAAAATCTAAATCAAAACAAACATTTTTCCAAAATCCATTGCACTTGTATATGTTACTGTCATTTGTCACACAATTTGTCATGTTAAACATTGCAACATGTTTTTATTACAAAAGAAAACTTGGGGACCATAATCCATTTATTGGTTACAATGGATGAACTAGATGATATATGCTTGGAATTCTTCATCTTGTTGTTGATCTTAATAAAAAGATCGATTACTTTGCTTGCCGAAAATGCCAGGTCTATATGTTGAAGACATGAGATCCACAAGGAGGGGGAACTGTAGGAGCATGAAAGAAGAAATTGGTAAACATGCTGATGTAACAACAAAACTAAGTAGCCAGCTGTTCTTGTCACCCAACATAAGACACATTGTAATTTTTCCCTGCTCCTTTGATCTGCCACTGTAATTTTTACTGAACAATTTTTGTGAAATTTATTTGATTCCTTGGAAATTTTTTATATTTGACAATTGGTGAATGTTTGGAAATAGATTTTATTTTGTATTCCATTCTTGCAATTTACACTGTTTTTCTTAAAATTGTTTCTGTGACTTATGTGCAGTCAGAAATGAAACATTTTGGAGGGTCTGACACTGAAGCTTATAGTCAGCACTTTGAGAAGAGAATCTTGAAACTCAAGGATAATTCAAACCCTAGATCTGACGATCGATGCTCCACCACAAAGATCGTCAAATCGCACTGCACAACCGAAGAAGTCTAGCCTGACAAATTCATCAGAAAGTGTGAGAAAACCGAGCAGATTCTCAGGGACTGTGTTGGAAGGTATCTATCTATTTCTGGAAATCCAGTTTTTGTTTTTACAACTGTTTGATTGCTGAGAAAGTATGAGAAAATGTATCACCAAGTTTGCAACTCATTTTTGTTTGACATATAAGTTGCCCCACAACTTCTTCAACAGATGATAACGTAACATAATAAAACATTACTAAAATTATAATTAATGGCCACTAAAAATATGTTAGACACCTATGTCATATGAAGTCAGATGCGGGAGTGTATTTTAGCAGTTGGTCTCATTAAATATTAAAATTAAGACAAATTTGGTAAAAAATAATCATATTTTTATATTTTTAATATATTATATGAGATAAAATGATACTATAGATAACATCTAGTGCCAAAAAAGTAATTTTTTAGAAATTACACCAAAAAATTATACATATAAAATACTATTAAATACAAATATATAATAACTGTTTGATAGAAAGTATCAAATACAACCTACACTCTTGTTCGTGGGTCAGATGTCTCCAAATATGGAGTGTCCATCACAAGTTTAACTTGTTTTGATGATTTCATGTTAGATAGGTAGACACCCAAAACATGATTATTTACAATAGAATTATATAGACCAAACAACAAGATGGTAGGTGTAATGCATGTTTTTCTCTAAAAAAATCATCTAATGACGAGGGTATCTTTCACATGAGGTCTACTCCATAGTCTTTCAGCAATAAACAAAGCATAGCATACACAATGCTGTCTATCTCACTTTAGAAAGTAGTGTAATTTTGTCCATGGAGTAGAATTTAATTGGCATTCCCAACTTTTCGAAGCTACAAGTTCTGATGAAAGAATATTCTCGAATTCCGTAAGATAGAAGTTATTAGAACACACTATTACGTGCTTGGAAAATATTTGTGTATGAAACTTTATAATAAACTTAAGCTATGCTACGTGTCTGTCCCTTACCATCAATTTTGTTTGTCTATGACTAAGATATTGTTCCAATCAATCATCTAACAGAGAGATGAGAAAGAAGGAATGAAAAAAATATTAGAAATTTAAGAAAAAGAATGTTCATCCTTTAAACCCATGTTTTTTTTTGCAATTCACATGTTCTTTGAGGAAGCCAAGAGTATATCTCCTTCAGTAAAGCTAGTGCTTCCATCCGTTTGAGTGGCCATCCTCTATGTATGGCTCAAGGAATCCTATGAATTGCAAGAATAAATAGATACATTACAATAGATTTAAAAAAAAATAGAACCAACTTACTATTAAAATAAATATGCAAATCTTGATCCTTACTGCTTAGAGATACTTCTAAACAGCCCAGTTCTGTACAGCCCAGTTTTACTGCTCACCCAGGTTCTGCTGCTCTGCAGCCTAGTTTTTCCGTCCAGCAGCCCAGTTCTATTGTCCTACTGCCTAGGTATGCTGCCCTGCAGCCTTCAACTCTACAGCTCAATTCTGCAGGTCCACAGTCCAGTGCTGCCATTCCACAGCGTAGTTCCCTTTTGCCACAGCCTAGTCCATTTTTTCAAGCTACTTCTATCCCTCTGCAACCTACTTCTTCAGACCCATCTGATCTTGCTGTCTCCCCTAATCCTTCTATACCTATACAGTCCATTTCTATACAACTTCCTTTGTAGCCTTCACCTCCTCCTACCAACACTCATCCTATGATCACTTGATCTAAAGCTTCTTTCTCTGTCATCAAGTCTTCTTCTCCTCATTTTTTTTTTTTTTGCAGATTTTGAACCACCTTCTTATAAGGAAGCCCCCATTTTAAAATATTTAGGTGGCGACTCTGTATCTGGCAAAGCAGTCCATGTTTGGCACTACTTTTTCAAAAATCTGTTTCTCAAAACGATTTGCCAGATTTGGACTCTTTGGTTCAGATTAAGAACCGACAACAAAAATCGGGAGTCCGAACTGTAGCAACGAGGTCCCCCTCCGCGGGCGCTGTTACACTTTCACACCGAAGAGCAAAATAAGCCCAACATTGACAACATGAAAGTTTTAGCTTTTACAATGGTTGAGTCAATCTTTGTCTTGCATTTGACAATGGCTTCTTTGAAATTTTTGGCAAAGTTGTCAAAGAATCTCCTTACATTTTGCAAAGTGCTTTTTGTCACTTTTATTCTTCATTATGAACATGGCGTGGCCTCTGTCGGGGAGGTGAAGGATGCTAACATAGACTTTGATGTGGCACAAAGTATTGAACCCCTCAATTAAGAGTTTACACAACATGCAATATTGAACCCATCATTTTTGCCCCCTGCTCTGTTTTTTTTTTTTTTTTCGGCCATGTTGGTAGCATTTTTCCATCAGTCGTATTGACATAGATAGAGAGGTTACCATTTTTTTCCATCATTCCACTAACTTTGGGACCATTTAGAGATATTTTATTCAATTATGAACATCAGACCATTCAACTTAGATTGATCATTTTACATTTTTTTGTGTAAAAATTTGTTTCCCTATTTTCACTTGTTAATAGCCAGAGTTAAACAGGAAATTGAACAAGCATAGCCGACCAAAAATTAAAAATTAAAAATCCAGACAAGTCATTAACAGAAAAGGAAATCCCCCCTCCTTTTTTTTGTGTTGTTGAAAATAGTAGTGCAGCAACAAAACATAAGTGGCAAGTTTATCAGAAGAGAATTTGTTTATTGATGTAGTATATCATCATTAATTAGAACTATGTCGTGCTAAAGTAAGCTTACAGGGAACACACCTAAATCTTAGATCTCTGAGAATGAGTTGACTGTCTTGAACCCATGATTCTCAGGTAGAGGTCCATTTCCTAGCCGCACAGAAATTATCACCTCCAAACCTGAAACATGTATTAGAATTCAAGATCCAATGGTTAAGGCAATCTCAACCAATGGCTCAGGCAATAAAAAAAAACTGTATGGCTACATCACTCAACCCTCAAAGCTCACCACACTCACTCAAACCTATTTAGGATCTTACAACACTTAACTCACATCCCTACAGATCATACAGCAACCTGCAAAAAATTAACCTGCACTGAGAGCATTAGTTAAAAATTTGAGGCTCACCCCACTCAACCCACAAATCTCACATCACTCACTCAACGAGCTAGTATAAGGTTCGTAACATTCAACCCACCTCCCTAATAAAGTACCAGCCATATACCTGCAGGTTATTAATAGTTACTAGATTTAAGCAGAGAGTCAGGTAGAGACCATATTCATTTTTTTTTAATCCGGAGATGCTTGATAATGTTTCGTTATATTCATTTTTTTTTTTAATCTGGAGATGCTTGATAATGTTTCTTATAGTACTTATATAGATTATCTTACCAGGTTTTGTAATGTCATGTAAGATGAGTGATTTTGGAATTGGTTGTTTTGTTTGGTTAATGCTAAAAAGTCTGCCACTTGAGGCCAAAGAAATTCAAGGGTCCTATATATGGGCTCCTGCTGATGACGAATTGATTTTTCTCTATTTAATTATGCATTTTTCTTTCCAACAAGTATGACATAATTCTCTCTATTGCAGCTAAAACTACCCTATCAAATTGTGGCTATTGTTTCCGGTGCTTTGAATGATGCAGCTGCAAAGAAGTATGATTTGGAAGGATGGTTTCCTGCATCCAACATTTACAGAGAGCTTGTTTCCTGTTCAAACTGCACTGACTACCAGTCCAGGAGATTAGAGATTCGATATGGGTAGAAAAAGGGTAGACTAGTAGTTATATTTTTGGATACACTAGTAGTTATATTTTTGGATGGGTGTGTATAGAAAATATTTAGTAGACTAGTAGTTATATTTTTCGGTTGATGTACATGGATAAAAATTTTAAACATAATAACAAGTATTTGTTATGTCTTAAATTTTTATGTTAGATGAAATATGTAGTTTGGAATTATTTGTGGATGAAAACTTATAATAGTTGCTGATTTTAATTAAACAGGTTCAGAAATGGTTGATCTATGTATTTTGTTGAATGTTCATGATTCAATTTATTTGTTGGTTTGAATGATTTTTGCAAATTACAGATTATATTGAATAAATTGGATGGATTATTATAAATTACAGGTTTATTTTGTTGGATGTTGGCGACCAAATGTGACAATTGGCAACCAAACTAATTTTGGTCGCAGAATGTCACAATTGGCGACCAAAATTTTTAGTCGCGGAATGTGACAATTGGCGACCAAAATTTTTAGTCGCGGAATGTGACAATTGGCGACCAAAATTTTTAGTCGCGGAATGTGACAATTGGCGACCAAAATTTTTAGTCGCGGAATGTGACAATTGGCGACCAAAATTTTTAGTCGCGGAATGTGACAATTGGCGACCAAAATTTTTAGTCGCGGAATGTGACAATTGGCGACCAAAATTTTTAGTCGCGGAATGTGACAATTGGCGACCAAAATTTTTAGTCGCGGAATGTGACAATTGGCGACCAAAATTTTTAGTCGCGGAATGTGACAATTGGCGACCAAAATTTTTAGTCGCGGAATGTGACAATTGGCGACCAAAATTTTTAGTCGCGGAATGTGACAATTGGCGACCAAAATTTTTAGTCGCGGAATGTGACAATTGGCGACCAAAATTTTTAGTCGCGGAATGTGACAATTGGCGACCAAAATTTTTAGTCGCGGAATGTGACAATTGGCGACCAAAATTTTTAGTCGCGGAATGTGACAATTGGCGACCAAAATTTTTAGTCGCGGAATGTGACAATTGGCGACCAAAATTTTTAGTCGCGGAATGTGACAATTGGCGACCAAAATTTTTAGTCGCGGAATGTGACAATTGGCGACCAAAATTTTTAGTCGCGGAATGTGACAATTGGCGACCAAAATTTTTAGTCGCGGAATGTGACAATTGGCGACCAAAATTTTTAGTCGCGGAATGTGACAATTGGCGACCAAAATTTTTAGTCGCGGAATGTGACAATTGGCGACCAAAATTTTTAGTCGCGGAATGTGACAATTGGCGACCAAAATTTTTAGTCGCGGAATGTGACAATTGGCGACCAAACTAATTTTGGTCGCAAAATGTCACAATTGGTGACCATTTTTTTGGTCGCGAAATGTCACGATTGGCGACCAAAAAAATATTGGTCGCAGAATGTTACAATTGTCGACCAAATTTTTTGGTCGCGAAATCCAACTTTTGGCGACCAAACAAATTTTGGTCGCGGAATGTCACGATTGGCGACCAAAATTTTTGGTCGCGGAATATCACGATTGGCGACCTAACTTTTTGGTCGTTGAATGTGATAATTGGCGACCAAACTTTTTGGTCGAGAAAATATTACTTTTCGCGACCAAAGTGTTTTGGCGACAAAATAAATTAGTCGCGGTAATTACGTATTTAGCGACTAAAAATTTAGTCGCGAAATCCAACTTTTGCCGACCAACCACAATTTTGGTCGGGAATTACTTTTGCCGACCCTCAATTGGCGACCAAACTAGCGACCAAAAAAATTGGTCGCGGATAACTTTTGCCGACCAAAAATTGACTTTTAGCGACGGTGTTAGGTATACGGGAGGCACATGGGATATATGTGTAAGCCGGAAGTGGAGGCCGAAGTGGTGGAATTAAAGTACAAAGAATTTAATTACGAGTTTATTGTTACAGTGTGAATTGTATAGATTTGTATAGGTTGAAAAATAGTAATCGACCTCGCTAAATTATGAAATTTTATCAGAGGCATGTATACGTGATTCTAGATAACTTTTGTGTTTTAATTTTTTATTAAAAAGATCGATTAGAACTTATAATTGGATGATCTTGGTTATTGTAAGTTTGATTCATTTTAGCAATGCAGACTTTAGAGGCTGTTTTAACCCACGAAACGAGCTCATTTTTATTGGCTTCACGTAAAATAAAGTAAAATGTTATTCTGCACACTTTTTATGTTTTGAACTTTTCCAAAAAAAATCATCTTAGGGCAGTTTTTGTTCGTTTTCAGTTTTATACTTTTCGATTGAATTTTGTCTAGGTTCTTCTATCAAGTTTTTCTCTCAACCTGTTCAGTTTTTGTTAAATTCGTT